ATTTGTCCCCAGCTTTCTCATCGCGGGGGGCAGAGGCACACACACAGTCACACATAGCGGGAGGGGGTCACCTTTCAACGGGAGAGAGCCAGGAAGAGCGAGAAAGGGAGGGCAAACTTCAGAGAGACATCCAACTTTCCTCCAAGGTTGGCGCAGAGCCTTATCAGGGGCTTTAAGTTGGCCGGAGGTTTCTTTCTGGCAGGTGCAGGAGGCTCCGCGAGAGAAGACCCGAGCGCGGGAGGCGGCTGGGGGGGAGTTAACTGATGGCGGGGGTGGCGGGGGGGGGGGGTGGGGGGGTTTAACGAGGCCTCACAGGACGGAGGAATCCCGGCGCAGTCGCCAGGGCCGACAAAGGCCCCCTCTGCGCTGCGCACCATCGGGTGTTTGTTGTGGTTAGTGCGCTCGCGTGTGTGTGTGTGTGTGTGTTTAACTGTGGCCCGGCGTGGTCAGCGGTCATCCCGTAGGAATGTGCTGCCAGAGCACATTTCATTCATTTAAAAAGAAAATAATGAAGGGGCAGAGCAGCAGAGCGAGACACAAAGAGGGACGGCAGAGCAGAGGGGGAAGCGGGGGGAACGAAGCGGGCGAGAACAGTATTCGTCTCAGCAGGCAGCCGCACGCAGAACGAACGACGCAGAGAAAGAGCGAGTTGAGCGATGCAAGGGGGACCCTCGCAGGAGAAGTAGATAAAGACCAGTCTTTAAAAATAAAGAAACGGAAGGAATAAAAAGGAGCGGGAGGAATAAGCAGCTCACGGCGCTTTGGAACATCACGGCGGAGTTAATGGAGTCGCAGGTTCAGTCGAGCACACAAATCCATAATTAATCAGCTTTATAAATAGTGCTCTGTGCACATACTCATGGACTTAAACACACACACACACACAGGCAGCACCTTTTTAAAAATGCAATCCTTTAGCTGACATAAGCATGTAAACACACACTACAACACGCAGGCCAACAGGAATGGCATTAAGTGGCGGTGCGTCATCCAGCAGCGACTCGTTTCCGTGGGATCAGAAAGGAGCTCGGGCCTGTTCCACACTGCCCGGACCACCGAGTGTGACTGACAGCCGCGCCGCGCGCCGCCTGCTCAGCGC